AACTTATTCTACGTCCAAGCTGGTGGATTCATCCGGTTGAACGGCCCACTCTCAGGACCGGTGTTAGCAAGGATGGGATTGAGCTTCATCAGTACTGATCAAGCCTGCCAAAATGCTGAGAGGGAAATCCCGGGGCCCACTTTTAACTTTGACGGACTTGTCACGTCAGCCGAGGAAGCCTGGCGTGAGAAGTTCGCTCCGATTACCATCGAAACTGGAGAAGTGGACAAGAGCATACAGACCAGCTTCTGGAGCGCTGTTTATCGTACGATGATATCTCCTCAGAACTACACGGGTGAGAACCCGCACTGGGAGAGCGATGAGCCATACTTTGACAGCTTCTACTGTCTCTGGGATATGTGGCGCGTGCAACTACCTTTCCTTACTGTACTGGAGCCTTCTATCATGTCCAGTCTAGTGCGAAGTCTTCTTGATACGTATAAGCATCGTGGATGGCTGCCAGACTGCATGATGAGCACCTGCAAAGGCTGGACACAGGGCGGCTCCAACGCCGATAATGTACTGGTCGATGCGTACGTCAAAAATATCACAGGCGTAAATTGGGAACTCGCCTATGAAGCCATCATCAACGACGCCGAGAACGAGCCATTAGAATGGAGTCAAGAGGGACGTGGTGGCCTGACGAGTTGGAAATCGCTAAACTACATCCCGGTGTCTGATTTTGACCCTTACGGCTTTGGTACGAACTCAAGAAGTATATCGCGATCTCTTGAATACGCGTACAACGACTTCAATCTGGCCACTCTGGCAAAGGGTCTCGGTAAAAACACGACTGATAAGTACTTCTCTCGCGCAACAAACTGGCGGAACCTCTTCAAATCCGACCAAACCTCCTCGATCAACGGTACAGATACTGGCTTCACGGGCTTCTTCCAACCCAGGAACTTAAACGGAACATGGGGCTACCAAGACCCCATTGCCTGTAGTCCGCTGACCGACTTTTGTTCATTGACGTCGAATCCGTCTGAGACATTTGAAAGCAGTGTTTGGGAGTATATATTCTTCGTCCCGCACGATATTGGGAAACTCATCGAGCTACTTGGGGGCGACGAGACGTTTGTGCGCAGACTGGATTTCTTCCATACCAGCGGCCTAGCGGATATAGGAAACGAGCCAGTCTTCCTGACAGTGTATCTATCTCATTTTGCAGGAAGACCTGGATTGAGTGCAGAGAGGGCACATTACTGTAAGTTCTGCCACACCAGACATCAAGGAAGTGTCCGGTTTGACTAGATTCGCTAACACCAGATGTAGACATCCCGTCACGGTTCAACGCTACACCCGGCGGCCTTCCAGGCAACGACGACTCGGGAAGCATGGCATCTTTCGCACTCTTCAGCATGCTTGGCTTATTCCCTAACCCGGGTCAGAACGTCTATTTTATCATTCCGCCTTTCTTCCCCACCGTTTCCATAGCTAACAAGCTCACGAATGCTACTGCCACCATTCGTAACACCAATTTCGACAAGGAGTACAAGAACATTTATATCCAGAGCGCTAAGCTGAATGGCGAGGTGTACACGAAGAACTGGATTGGACACGAGTTCTTCACGCAAGGGTGGACGCTGGAGCTTGTGCTGGGAGATACGGAGAGTGATTGGGGTACGAAGAAGGAGGATAGACCGCCTAGTATGTCGGACGGGCAAGGTGAGGTAGACCTGGGATTGAGGATGCAGTAGAAATCAGCGAGATGGACAAGGCCAAGAAGTATTGCCGAACACTGGGTGCTGAGGATATAAGTGCGGATAGAGTAACCTAATCAGCGCCGTAAACGAGTATATTATAGCAGCAAGTTGCAGTTACGGGGGAATCTAATCGCTGGTATGACTGCCTAGTTGAGTAACTTGGGTATAATTGTTGACTTATTAATTACTGTGATCAAAACAAAGCTTTCGAAGCAACGCTCAATAGCCACGCGGCATCTTGCCAGCCGCCGACCTCTTCATTGGCCGTCGTACGCTGCGAGTCCCCGGTTATTGGGCGGCTCTCTGTATCTGTGGTTGTCGCATCGTCTTCTTGTCTCCGCAGAGCAGACGCAGCAATGATAGCTTCTCGTTCAAGCTTACGTCGCTTGGCTTCGACTTCGCGGCGTAACTTCAGCTCCTCCGTTGTAAGATTGTCTAGTCGCAAGCTCCTATCATCTTCCACATCATCCTCATCAGACGCTTCTCTGTCCTCGTCAACAGAGAATAGTGTCCATCCGATGAGACGATCCATCCAGCCTCCAAGCCCGAACCCGCGTTCGCGCGCCAAACGAGCGACTTCTTCCTCGTCGCCATCGCTTTCTTCGTCTGCTTCGATGAAGTCAGGCTCAATGAAGCGTTCATCTAGCTCAGAGATTTCGAAGCTGGCTCTTCCTGACTGCGGTTTCGATCCGGCAGACATCATGAGATCGGCCCGACTACCTACTCTGCTGCCCCGTCGACTCTGCCGTGCGCTGGGTACGCGGGAGCCTACGCGACTGGGGATGCGACTTCCCACCCTGGACATGCGCGGTGAGAAGAACACAGGAAAGTCTGCGTCACCGACATGTTCGCCGGAGAGTAGAGCCATGGGCCTATCCTCATGTGAAGAGCGTTTCTCGTACTCGTCACCTTGTCCGACTAGACTGGTGGAGCTCTCTCGTCTCACAAGCCAACCCTGTCCCTTGCTATCCCTCGTCTCGCCGGCGATTGCCAAGCCAGCGCGGTGCAGCCACTCTTCATTTGACTCTTTGGTATGATGCTTTACGAGTGGTGAGTGCGGCGGCAGAGGCGCTGTGCCTTTCCTCGAATGATGTCTCTTTTTCCCATCATCTACTCCGAGCACTTCGTCGGCAAAGCTGACGCCGGGATGCAGAACACTGGTACTCTTTGCTTTTGGAATGTCGCCGACGTCGCGAACTTCGGCACGGGGGTTGACGAAGTAGCTGTCGTATGCGTATGCTTTCTTCGGGCGCTGCCGTGAACTGCTGCGGCTCTGGCTGAGGCTTAGAACACCTGGCGTTGTAGGTGCCGACTTTTGCGCGATGTACGACGTCCGAGGAGTGCGCGTGCCTTGCTCGTCGGGCGAAGGTGGTACGGATGCATCGAGAGGGTATTTGGCGCTGAGCGGGGCTATGGAGAGATTGTGGAGGTTCGGGTAAGAGCGACGCGATCGGGATGTCGAGCGTGGAGGCTCCATGATGCTCAATTGGAGAACGTGGGACCCCTGGGATACGCTGAGGATGTGAGAAACGTCACGATGTTTACTGTATTTGGTGGAGTGACCGAGGTCCAGCATGTCAGACGCACAGACTCCGGGGAAATGAGGCTTAGCCTTTCATGGTTAGCTGCCGATCATGAGAGTCTTCACGTGAAAGTGGTGCGATGGAGCTTTGAAATATTCAACTCAGAGAAATTTCACGAAAACGTGCCGCGACCTCCGACTGCGGTCTGCAGTTGACCCCTTCGAATAAGCCAATTTCTACGGAATGTCGCGGAGTCGTCATAGAGATTTCGAGATACTTTCTGCCAAGTTCCCCTGAGCGTCCAGGCCCTGGCTACGCGGTTGCAATGATGAGGAAGCGGCCACAAGACTCGGGCAGCAGGAGAACTCGGGATGAACGGCTATGAATATTGCCTTGATGATGGCATAGAAGCTGGGCAAAGGCGAAGTATGATATCGTTGTATTCGCATAGTCGGTTTGCTCTGGGAACACGGCCCATAAGCTTCGCCTACTGGCATTTGCCGTCTACAGTAATGCTTTGATGCGCTTACTGTGTTATTGGCGTCTCTTCTGTGCCGATTCTTCCGCGCGGTTCTGGCGAACACGTCGTGGTTCACCCAAGCACTAGAGACCCACCGCTCCGTAGGTTGCGAGTGGAGCGATGACGAGGTCAACGGCGCTGGAAGGTATCAAACCTGTCGCTGAGGCACGGGAGCGAGACAGTGTTGAGACGCGCCGCCCAGGTCGGAGCCATGCAGCGGGGCGGTTCGCCTTGGAACAGAAGCGAATTTAGCGAAGCTTGCCCACTGCCCAGGTGCTACTGGCGCTTGCTCTGTGCTTGCCGTCATTTGGCAAGGCACGACAAGATTGGTGCGGGGTCCGCGCGCTGTTTGCTGGTACCAGAAGACTGAACTAGCACACAGCCCACAGATTGCTGTCGATGAATTATATGCTCTGCGTTCCTGCATAGCCAAAGTACCGTTGGGAAGGTGCGGCAAGTGACGTACGGCGCTTGGCGGACCCTGGAACCGGCGGTCCAAGCCAGCGGATTGATTCCGACGCATCTGGCTCGGACCAGTGAAAGGCGCGCTAGGGCGACCCGCCCGATTTCTTCCACAACACCAGCCTTCATTATAATACACTACTTCTCACTCCCCGCGAACTACGGCTGACATCCTTCGCTACCGCCCCGAGCCATCACCACACAAATATCCGTCTACTGCGCACACCACTCCGCCCACAGTACACTCTACCTACCTCACTCACTCACAATGAACATCAACGCCTCTTTGCATCACCGCAAGACGCTCGCAAGATGTGTCCTGTAACCAGCCGGTAACAGCGAAGTAAGTTTCACTCTTTCACGCGACCTTGGAAGCTGCACTGTCACCAGCACTGTGTGAACTGCCGCATTTTCAATGGGTGCCCTTCCATTCGCCGCGCGCTCGACTCGACCGCCGGATCCGTGGGTGACAGCGGCGACGACCCATAGCTCGCGACTTCGGAGCTATCCTCCTAACGTACGAGCATTTGGCTAATAGACTATAGGCTGCCCGCGTCGGCTTCTGCCCCCGTGTCTCTTGTCTTCGAGCATCCTCCCAACTCAGACTTCCAAACCCTCAACGCACACAAGAGCACTCGACAAGGCCTACCACCAAGCACCTCCGCATCCGAAAATCCGCGCTGTGAAGGGTATAGGACAAATCGTCCGAGTACAACACAAGCTGCGCTCAAACCTATACCTTTGATACCCTCCTTCATAGTCGAACCCGAAGCTCCGCAGCGCTTCAACATGTCTTCGTCAAACGGAGACTCCGCGATGTCCCCTAGCCAGGACCAGAACGCTCAGGAGAGCGTATTCGAAAGGATCAGGGAGTTTGTCGCCTCTCTCGGTCTCTCTGCAAGCGATGGGCTCATTCAGCACGCGGGCGAGACCACGCACGAGGATCTAAAGGTCGTCGTAGACCCTCAGGGTCACCAGTGTTCCATCACCTGCACAGCCGAGTCTTACGGCACCCTCACACCGGCCGTCTCCATCCGCTCGGCACCCGAACGCCTACAGTCACTTACTCCTCCATCAAACTACGGCACAGTTCTCCCTGGGTGCGTCTATCGCAGCAGCTATCCAAAAGAGGAGAACTACGAATACCTTAAGGAAGCCGGAATTAAGACCATCCTCACCCTGGTTCCTGAGCCACTCTCACCCGAGTATCAAAACTTCATGAAGGAGGCTGGTATACAGCACTTCCACGTTCACGTCAAAGCCAACAAAGGCGAAGTGCGCGTCGAATCGTGCGAAATGTCACGAGCTCTGCGCCTCATCATGGACCGTACCAACCACCCGATCCTCGTCCACTGCAACAAGGGCAAGCACCGCACAGGATGCACCATCGCCTGCTTCCGGAGGATCCTCGGCGTCGATCCAGAGACAGTTCGCGAGGAATACCATACCTACGCCGGCGCAAAGGCTCGCTTCCTCGATGAGGTCTTTTTCGAGAATTTTGACCTCAATTTGGTCATGTGGATTGCTCGCAAGGAGGGCTGGGTTGCGCCTGCGATCGATATTGCACCACCCACACCCCCGGCTTCAGTCAGCTCAAGCACCAGCGCAAAGGCAGTCGCTTTGGCTTGATATTTTCCTTGGGTCATATTGCATTCTTAGGCGTTCGAAAGGGAGCATAGTGCATGCCGGATCACTTGCCGGCTCAGTTGAGGTTTCAGCGCGGCGTTCCAGGCTCAATAAGCCTACCACCAACAACGGGCATTGGGATCATGGCGTTGATTTTCTGAATTTTTTTAATTGGGGCCTAGAACATGGCTTCTTTCTCTCCAAGCGAGATGTGTTTTCATTCATTGTGCATTGGGTTGGTCTGTCGCTTTTGAACATTACTGGTTTCTGTTGTTATCGGAAGAGGGGGCAACTGCCGACAAAGAACATCGGTCTACCAGGAACCTATTCCCTATGTTATACTGCAAGAAAATCAACACGTCTCATACTGTGCGTCTCATACGAGAGCTTCAGTCACCGAATCCAGACTTCTCATCAATCTTTTTACCACCGTGAAGCCTGCGCGCCCATTCACCTCAACCAGGAGGAAACTGAATAGGTCTGCAGCCTACATCAACGTTAGATCACCTACTTTAGATGTTTACATGTTGATGTAGGCTTTAGACCTGTTCAACTTTTTCATTTGTATGACATGCTCTGCGTTTCCCCTTATAGCCTTACTTTTCTCAAATGCCTTCCCCTCGGTCCCAAAAACACGATGCATATGCCCAGTGGTCTTCCTTTTTCCCTTTCCTCCGCTCAAGTGTCAGGGTCCGGTTCGGGTCCCCGCCTAGCAACAACACTAATCATCAAATTGCTTCTTTCTTTACCCAGTTCAACTTTTGAAGTCCAGACTGACCCCGTTTTCGTTGCCCTGACGATCATGGTGTTCTAGATTTAGATGTACATTTAGATTCTGTGGCAAGAGATCGTCATCGTCAGGTACAGGGACGCGTGTCCGGTGTGCTGGGATCCAGAGCAATGTTTGTGGGTTGTGGGTTGTGGATCTGCAGGGTCGATGAGGTCATTGTGTTGGGAGCTAGACGGGATGGTTGACTGTGTCGTCTATGGAGTGTGGATGTCGTGATGAAGAGTTCGCGTTTCAGAATGTCTCTGGACCGTTTACGCAGGTTCGCGATGGGATAGTTGCTGCTCGATGTTTTGGTACTGGGCGTGTTTCGTTGTCACGAAATCGTCGCGACGCGGCTTCTGAGCTCAGCGGGAAGGAAGGGATAAGTCGAAGACACTTGGATGGCTTGGATAGTTGACCTGGGTATTTTGAGGACGAGGATCAGATGAGATGACATCTTGCGTGGTATGTAAAGGAGCACTGATGGGAGATCACATTATCTAGATGATTCACAGATAATGTCACTACGAGAGTTACTTTGCTACAGTATTATACAAGAATGCAATCTGCGCCTCACACGCCATCCAAACACCAAACAATCACATCACCAGTCCTCCTCGAGTCATCATGGAAGTGGCTGTTGAAACCCCTCCAGCACTCCTGGTACCTAGTGCCCTCAAGATACTCCTTTAGCGTCCCTTCCAACTGCTCAAAGAAAACAAGGTTTTGCGGCCACTCACGCCGGTACTTGCGTTTAAACTTTGGATCCTGGCGCATCCAATGCTGACCAGACCTACTTCCACTCGCCTTGATCGTCTGTATATCTTCCATGTTAGCCCGAAGCCAAGCTACAGGGCCAGGTTTGATGTAGAACTCATCCGCCTCGTCGAGATAGGTTGAGCGCTGCGAGAGCGGTATGTCGATGGGTGGCTCGCACGTCAAAGCCCATGCGGAGATTTCAGGGTAGATGATGTGGGAGCGCCAGGGTGTGGAGTGGCAGGGCATGAGGAAGCCGACTGTTGTATTGGTCACAGCAGCGACGCTACTATCGCTATTGCCATGAACGTATAATAGGCTGTTGCGCGTTTCATGTTTATGGCGGAGATAGGCGAGTACATCGATGACTCCACGCTGGTGAACTTGAGAGGCATAGCCTGCAAGTAGGATGTTTACAGCAAGCAAGAACAGGACGACTGCTTTGTGCGATAGCGCAGCGCGAGGAGGTAAAAACTTGCTGAGTGGCCTGGCGGCGATGATGTGAAGGAAGGGTAGGATTGGGTACAGAAAGCGAACTTCCTTGTGCGATATCAAACTCAGCGTAGCAGTCATGACGATCACCGTCCATGACAGACGGCTTAGTATCTGACTGCCCGCAGTATATTGACCTGAAGCTGCTGTATTACCCGGGCTGTCGCCTTTGGCTGGGCTACATGGCTCTAAGCCCCTCAACGACTGCCACAGGCCAACAACGGCAAATGGCAACGATGTCGTGAGGAGCAACGGCAAACCTTCGGTCAAATAGTAGTCGCCGCGGTTCCTCCCGTAGAATACGGCTAACGACTGAGCGATGTTGAAATAGAGAAATCTAAGCGGCGGAAGAGTCCAGACCCTGTAATAGAGCCGATCGGTCGCGACTGACAATACCAGGACGGCGGAGCTAGCATCGTCAGTCGGGTTATGGTCTGGTGACCTCGGGGCACGGTAGTTTGCAGAGAACGCAGAGCCCGGTAATGGAGCCTTGCACTATGGGGACGAAAAACGTGCAGCGGATGCAAGGAGAGGGAAGGCTTACCCGCAAATCAGGATCTCACGGACCAACACATAGCGCAGCCGATGTGAGGCTTGCCATAGAGCTGGGACGGATACGGACAACCATATGAGTGCATTGGTGGGCCGGAGAATACACGCAAGCGCTGCCAACAGCAGTGACAGGCGCAACCTGCACGAGCATGAGCCTAAAGTGGTGGCGGAGCAGACAAAGGGTGTTTTGATTCCACGACTTACTCTGAGAGGGAGCCGAGGTCGTGGTGTGCAATATGCGTCTGACCCTTGCTAGCTGTTGCTGCACCCTGCCAAGGCCAATAGTAAATAGCGACAGAAGTGATGGTAGTCTCAAGACAGTTGGATAGTGTTCGGGTCGCGCAGAACCACTGCCACGGGCTGCAGACAGACAATGCAAGCTAGAAGTAGGTGGGCTCAGATATCAGAGATTGCAGTGCTAAATTTGCAGGATGGTCGCGTACAGTAGTAAGGGCAGTGCGACTGCCACGACCGTAGACTTTTTCCGCAAGTTTCCATGTGTAGCAATCAAGCAAGGCTGCAGAGACGGCTTGGGTAACTTTCGGAGCAGCTAGGAGTAGTTCGGCTTTAGCAGGCAAGGTCAAGCCACAGAGGTCAGCAACATGTGCCGCGACTCGATAGACGGCAGCGAATAGCGCTGGATGCAGGGACGACCGCAATTGGGATCTCCATTCCTGGCCACGGTGAGCGGACTGGGGATACTGGAGCACTCTGAAGTGGATTTACCCAGGTGATCCAGGCATTGCTGGCGGGGCCAAACGCAAGCTGCCATGCAGGTTCGAGGGACTGGAAGAACTCGTCGGGCTGGAAAAAGGAGCGCAGGGTTAGTGCGTTGACGATGCGGAAGGCAAGCAGCAGAGCGAAGATGTTTAGCGTCGAGTCACGATAGCTGTTGGACGGAGCGCGTGGTGGAGCACCAGTCCCGCTCGGATTCGTGTCCCTCGCAGCGTTGGTGCGGGTCGGCATTGGGTAATAGAGCAAGAAACAGCGAGCACAGGCGGGAGGCCGGGGCAATGGTTGGCGAGCAAAGTGAGATGAGATTCGCAGCAGAGGTGAGGATGCGAAGCCGGTGGTCTAGCTCCTTGGCGCGCTGCACAGGCAGTCACGTTTGTCATGCATCCGTGCTCAAGCGCGCCCCGGTGCAGAAAATTGATGCTGCGTGCCTTACCGGATTAGGACTTTCACGATGATTGCTGAGGAGACGGGCGGCGCCTAGACTCGGCTTCATCTGCGCTGGCCCTCTGCAGCATGCACCGCCGTGCGACTGTGCACGTACGAGGCCGGTCAATCTCACGATAGGTCACGATTGATAATCTACCGGTGACTGCAGGCGGTCTGGAGCGCCATCGTGGCATGGCGAGGGGGAGGCAGCAGGGCGCGAGGACGCTGGATGGGATTGTTGCCAGCCGTCGGTTTGCCCCCCCCTTGGATGCTCGTGGCACGATGGCTGTGTGTGCCGGCCCAACAATGACGATACGGGGCGCGCCAGTGACGCAGCCATAGCGTGAGATTGGACATGGCAGCCCTGGGGCGATATCGAAGCGGGAACGAAGAAGCAAAGCGAGTACCTGACGCTCAGCGAGGGTAAATCTGGGGAAGGGCTTGTGCTAGAGAGGGTCCGTCAGTCGCCATGTGCTATGATGGCAGATGTTGCAGGGAGGGATTTAGAGTTTCTCCAGGGTGCTTATCGCGCTTCCTCATCTAATGGCTGCTGCATGGGCCCAAGTGACGGGTGCCGACGCAACCGGAGGCGGCAGAGGCGACCCATGCGCGCACATAGCTGGGATCAGGACACAGGCACATGCTGATGGCGCTGCGCAGAGCAGTTTGGACGAGGGCGCTGCAAACGAACCACACCCTCGAACAGCTGAACGCCACCTGTTGTTGAGGGCAGAGCAAGGGCCGGGCTCGCCAGTGAGGGACTAGTGCATGCAGCCATACCCGTTCTTGTCACCTGCATGCTAGCACCATGTAGGTGATACTCTCGCTGCCGTCGAGTGGCAGATCCCCCAAGACAAAAAGTTGCCCATATCGCTCGTGGCTCGCTCAACAAGAAATCGCTCCACCGGGCGCATTGTAGGCCTCTGGTCGCCGGTGCCATTGCCCTCTTGCCGTGCAGCGCCTCGTTGTTTGCCCTGACGGCCTTTATCTGCGTCTTCGCCTATGCCCAGCGCGATACATAGCGTCTCCACCTTTTGCTGCGAGCCCCGGCGTGTCTCTCCCGCTTCAGAGCGTCATCTATGGGGCCCGAAATACTCTTGACTATCCCGCCCATCACTGCCCCAGAGGGAAAAGCGCAAGTGAGCCGATCGTGTCTCTCAACCAAATCCATATCGAGCCGTTGAGCCCACCACGGCCCACTGCCACCATCTTCACCCCGACGTCGATTCACAGCACCAGTGCACCCACGCCATTGCCCTCGCTGTGACACCGCCACCGCCGCCCAGCCCAGCGCGACATGAGACTATCCGCCCACGACGTGCGCCTCGACAAACCGTAGACGGGCTGGCATGGTTGCACGCCTCTGCTGAGCTGACACGTCCTGAGCTGTGGTTGCCATGGTCGACCCGAATGCGGGCCTGACAGCGGAAGGGGAAGTGCGGGACGACCAGGCGCACTCGTCGCCGGCGTCGTCTGTGTGCCCCCCGACCGCGGACGCACCAGAGGCACCAGAAGCACCAGAGGCATTTGGTGAAGAAAGAGAAGGGCAGCAGCAACATGGCGCGTCGCCGCCGAGTCAAGGCCAGGACGACGAGAACGACTGCACGCCCCGCTCCGAGGTGCCTTCCGTGCCAGAGGCCCTCAACGCCAGCCTCTTATCGCAGATACACACGCTCGACCCGGAGCCCTCGTACTTCTCTCCACAACCCCTCCGAATCTACTCGTCGCCCATCCCCCGCGACACGTCCGCGTCTTCGAACCCCTCGCCCAGCACGAGCGCCCACGCCTCGCAGGCCTCGCTCTCCACCGTCAACGAGGCCGCGCCCGCCGCTGCACCTGCCCCCGACCGCCCGGCTTTCATGCGAGACCTCTCGAGCGCTTCGACGGCCAGCAACGTGACGGTGCGGGCCAACTCAGTCGACCCCATTCACCCCTACGCCCTCCCTCCCCGCCACCGCGATGGGCCCGTCTACCCCAACCAGTCCTATGCTGCCCTCCACCTGCAGCAGTACCCCCAGCCCTATGTCCCGCCCATCGTCCGCTCCCGCAGCTCCCACCCCTCGCACTCGGCCGCCAACTCGCTGTCCAGCCTCGGCGCCTTCGGCCTCTCCCACGAGCACTACAGGGACATTATGGAGTCGGCCCCACGCACTGTTGGCAACTCACCGGTGAGCAGCCCTGGCCTCTTCAACCCCACCACCCGCCGCCCTTCTCAGGAGCCCGACCAGCCCGACGACGGTACCTATTCCACGCCCTGGCTCCACCATACCCACCGCCAGGCGCCCAAGGAGACCCACATTGCCGATGTCCAGGCCGACCCCGTCTCCGGACGCAAGATTGTGAACCAGTACGAGATCATCGACGAGCTTGGCCGAGGCGTTCACGGCAAGGTCAAGCTGGGCAAGGACCTGGTGCACGGCCGCTACGTCGCCATCAAGATCGTCGACCGCTACTCCAAACGTCGCCGCCTCGGCAAGAACAACAGCCACGAAGACAAGATCAAGCGCGAGATAGCCATCCTCAAAAAGGCCCGCCACCCCAACATCGTCAGCTTGCTCGAGGTTATAGATGACCCAGCTAAGAAGAAGGTCTATATCGTACTCGAGCACGTCGAGCTGGGCGAGGTCAAGTGGCGGACTGAGGGTGCCAGGGAGATCTGCCTCGTCGAATGGCGTCGCTTCAAGCGCGAGTCCCAGGGCATCTTCGACAATGACAGTGCAACGTTAGAAGACGAAAGGATCATCCGCATCGCCCACCAGAAGCTTGCCCGCCAGCAACGTCGCATGGCCAGAGAGGCTCACCTACGTCGGAAAGACGGCTCCTCCAACCAACCCTGGAGCTTGGAGTTTGCAACCGACTCTGAAGACGAGGGCTCCGACAACGGACGTAGCTCGCAAGCATCCCATCTAGAAGACGAGCGTCCGCACAGCCGCGTCCAGTTTCGCGAGCGATCAGACGTCGCAGGCCACCACGAAGACCACATGGAGACCGCTTTCCGATCGCCTGAGCCGGTAAACAACTCTTGGGCCGATGGGCTTGAGGGAACCATGTACGGCCCTTACGACACGGAGCTCATCCGAGGCCGCGTACCGAGCGTTGCTGGCAGCTCCTCGTCACGTGTGACCGACTCTGGCGAAGAGATCCCTGAACACTTCAATTACGTCCCTCTGATGACTATGCATGCAGCTTGGGAAGCCTTCAAGGACACTGTCTTGGGTATAGAATACCTGCACTATCAGAACGTCATCCATCGAGACATCAAACCTGCCAATCTTCTTGTAACCAGGGAGCATCGCATCAAGATATCTGACTTTGGTGTGTCGTACTTGGGACGGCAAAAGACTGATGAAAGCAACGGCGAACACTCTGAGTCGGACTACCAGGAGGTTGACGAAGCCATTGAGCTGGCGAAGACTGTGGGAACCCCTGCCTTCTACGCCCCCGAGCTCTGCCGTACAGAGATTGACGCAGAGACTCCCCTCATCGACGGCGGGATCGATATCTGGGCTCTCGGTGTCACGCTGTACTGCCTTATCTACGGGCGCGTGCCTTTTCACGACACAAACACATTCACGCTGATGAAGGTCATCAGCGAAGACGAGCCCTACATCCCTAGGTATCGGCTGAAACCCGTCGCTGAGCAATCAAACTCGCGGCCCAACTCACACGGACGCAACAGTCAGCCAATGACGAGCACCAAGAGAGCACCGCATGATCTCGAATACGAAGAGGTTGATGAAAACTTACGTGACCTACTGCGACGATTGCTGATCAAGGATGCGCGACGTCGCATCACTATACCAGAGATCAAGCGCCACCCGTGGCTGCTATCCGGTATTCCCAACCACATCTCATGGGCAGAAGAGACAGACCCTAGCAAGTCCTATGATGGAAGAAGGATTCAGATTTCCAAAGAGGATGTCGAGGAGGCCGTTGTCCCTATTGGTTTCGTCGACCGCCTCCGCTCAGCCGCTAAAAAGACATCCGAGTTCGTCAAAGGTTTCACAACTCGCAGTTCAGGTTCAAGGCGCCGTGCGCAGAGCTCGGCTACCAACCAGGACGCGCCCCCCAACATCAGCGCAAACTCTTCGAGTAGTACTATCAGTCAAGACGCCCGGCCCTACGAAGGCCGACGTGGCAGTCTAGCACCCGGTGCTATCCTAGAGATTCTGACTCGCTCGCGTGAAGCTGAGCATCCGCTCTCTCACAGTGTTACAGCGAGTCCGGAGGCGAGAGAACGGTCAAGGTACTTTGACAGTCCCAACTCCCGTACTGCATCACCCGCCCAGATGCTGGAGAGCCAACAGCGACCGCCAATGCAAGACCGAGCCATCTCTTCCATAAGCACCATTCGTCAAGCGGATCTGGTTCCCGGTCGAACCGCATCTCCAGGATTTCCTCCAGCTCTACCTGGTACCCCAACGGCTCTAGACACACCTGGTGGCTCACAGTTGGGTGGTCTATTTGGTGGTCTGCCACGGCGTGTGGTCAACAGCATGAGAAGCAGAGACAAGTTGAAGCCCCCAAAAGAACATAGCCGCGCGAGGTCGATCGATAGACTGGTTGGTGGAGACGACGATGCCCATGGCGTCCCAAGCCTGGCAATCAGCACTACATGTGCTTCCGGCCAAGTCAATCAACCTGACGCCCTAAAAGACATGTCTCCCATTGCTCGAAGCTCATCGCCTAGCCATTCAGAAGCTCAGTCTTTTGAACGTCTTGACCCCTCGTCGCGGCAATCCTCGTTGTCGTCACTGTCCTCCCGCCTGCATCGAAACTGGGCGATCGCAAACAGTCAAGAAGTTGGACCCACTCTTGGGATGGCGCCTGATTCTAGACGATCATCGCAGCTGCTTCAAGCCGGCGATCAAAGACCCTCCAGCCCTACCTCGATTGCACGAAAGAAATCAGATGACCGTTTTGATCGCGCGAAGGATGAGTACCGTCGACGACTTGGAGTGGAACAGTCAGCAGCCCGTGAGCGAACTGATTCTATTACACGATCACGGCCTACATCTTCTCATGCACAGACTGCATGTCCACCAAGTCCAGATGATGAGATAGTCTTCAGTCAACATAACAATCGAGAAAGCTGGCACCGAAACGATCAGTCCTCTGAGAATAGCCCTCTTGGTGGATCAAGCCGCGGGTTGGCCCTTTCCTCTTCCGAGGATCAATTCTCTGCCATGTCACAGTCCGAATCGAACCCATCAATTCCCTCGGTCGCGTCGGCCGGCTCCCCAACTCAAGTTGGTTGCGGTTCCTTTGATGAACACTCCTGGATCTCCACAGCGTCAGCCAATCACCTTGAGGCCTCTATCGATGACGCTGCTGGCTACGATGGCGACCACGCTGTTGAAAGCGATGACGATTCAGAGAGCGACGACGGAATGGTCCTGAACTTCAGCAGCAAGAAGAGGTCTGTCGCGTCATCATCGCAACGAAGCAACTCCGTCTCCAATGGCGAACTTGCTCGTGCCAGCATTCACGTCCGGCGATCCACTCGCAGTGGAAGCAACGGAACAGTCAAGAAGATTCCTCCACCCGAGCTAGAGCCAGCGGACAATCGTACAGCTGAATCGCAATAACAACACCCACATACCGTACACTGACAACTTTACTGTCATCTCCGTCATCAACTACACGATACCCAAGATCTACCCGCTGTACGAATACACATACATTGGATTCCCGTTTCACGCGTGTGTACATATACGAATTACAGAGCAACAACATGACTTTACCACTACCACCAAGGGCAGGCGCAGGGCGTTCTCACTTAGCTTGGATCTAGGCTGCATGCATCGGCGAGCGTTATTAAAAGACGGCGTTGTCTCTTTTCTCTTCTCAGCATTTACTATTACCATTCTGTATCTATTTCCACTTTTTCTCTTGTGTGGCCTGGGCCTCCGTTTGGTTGAGAATGAAGGATGAATTGTTGATGATCGATGAGAACATAACCTCGGTAAGCGATGCGCTCAACAAGGGGGCTTTGGCTTTCCTGGGAAGCTGTTCCGCACATGGCAAACTGAAGGGGATGGATTACTGTGTCCTTAGCTAGTTACTACTCTTCGCTTCTTTGAAGTGTCTTTGATAGCATATTGGCTGTTTGTCAAGCCGTGTAGTATAATGCATGAACAGGCATAATGCCTGATCTTGTTGAACTTGACCGACATGAGGATCTTCACCGCATTCAGTGATGATGCTATTCTCCACACACCTCGGTTGGACATGCATCGAGCATCTCCACCCTTGACAAACCACAACCGCAACCGTATCTGCGGTTCCCTCCCCTAGCAACTCGGCACCCCATAGTAAAAGAAAAAGTCAATTTCCGACATCGCTCCTGTTGCGACACACCTGCATGTACCAATCTCCCAACAAGATTCCCAACCGATCGGTATTGTACCGACTCCCGAGCGGTATATACGTAGTAATCTATGTAGTAATAATATGTCACCGCCGTCTCTTATTTTTCAACAGCCGCCTTACCCAGACGGAGTTCCTGACGTTGCGAACCCTGAAAATTCCCTAAACTCATCCAATTTCCCCACCAACATTACCGACATTAACATGTTGACCACAGATCGCCGATCGCGAACCTGCATGCATGCAGGTGTACAGATCGGGGATCCTTCTCTTACCTGCATAAACTCCAAGCAGTTGTTTCCTTTTTCTTCTGACAACGGATAGCTGTATGCAAGTCATCATATCGCAAGTAGATAGCAAGTCTGCTGGAATGAGCGACCCGCAGACGCCTCACCGATGGGCGATTGAGGCTAGCACAAGGCAGGTTCGAGCAAAAAGACGCACATGCATATGTTTGGCAGCCAGATGCGATTGCATGAGAACGGAGACATGGGAAAGTACCGTAAGCTAGAAATCGCTTTCGTTGTGGCTAACGCGGAGGTCGGGGTCGACAAGGCTCAGTTGAGTAAAGACTATATTGACGTGCAGGATCGCAACTAGCTCGTTGGGTTTGACGTGGAGGGAGGCTGCAAGCGAGGTAAGGTGATGTGCACCATCGCTAAAAGTTGCGTGCGAAAGACCTTTTCGCGGGGCTTAGCACACAATCCCAAGCTACTGGCAGGTTGGTCACAAGTAGCGTTCTTTGTCGTCTACATACACGCAGCGTATACAGCGTACAGCGCATTGACAGAAAACTAATGCTGAGCCAGCAACCTCGAAGGTGCAGTTCATCACAATCAAGCCAGGATTCACATCCCAGCCGATCTAGCGAGGCTGAAGCACTATACACAATCTCCATCCTTCTACCTATACCGGCACGCTGGGTTCGGAGTTGTCTCCCTTGTTTCCCGTTCGCTTCGGTTGCCGAATCCGAGGCTATGCGTTGGATTACAGGGAGCGAACGCGGTGATGGGGTTGGGGGCGGTTGTGCTTCTGTATCTGGAGGCCGGTGCAGGAATGTGTAATTTGGAGGATATTGGATGTGGTGTTAGAAAGAGCTGCGGAGTGTGCGAATGCGGATATACTGCGCATCACGCATCGAGAATCAGGAGTACGGAAGGAGACTGTCCTTCCGCATGGAGTGATGCGTACAGATCTATACACATATGAGGTGTTAGCTGACGCTACATGTATATGCGCTGAAAACTACCAGTACTGCTTCGGGAGTCCTTGTTTGACCATGCCATGTGTGCCAATGGTCCGTTATGCATGCTCCATCTCTTTGGTGTTACCTGGAAGCGACCGCGATTTTCCATAGCCGCGCCATGAGCGAAGTCCGGTTTCCAACTATCAGCGATAAACCACCATGCAAGTCATCATCACCACCATTTCTCCACAAGCGCGCTTTGCCGCAGTCCAAGAGCCGTTTCATCTCAGTCAACGACGTTAGACCTCCGCGGCAAACTTGCTCCATCAAGTCGACCAGTGACATACCCCGTTCGGCACGCTCCGAACTCCGACTTTCTACTAAGACAACCTTATGTCGCCCGCCTAATCTCATCACATCCCATCACATTCCTCACTTCCACTGAAAATCATTGCCCATTGTGTACAAGGCTCTTTCCTTCCCCGCAATTTCTCGCGTGGCAGTCATCCTTTTCATGCATGACATACACTGGCCATGACCTTTCTCCTCACACATCTCGCATCTCACGTAACACCACCCCCAGACCCCGCGATATTCATCTCCGGTATACGAGGTGTCGCTGGATATAGGCTAAGCAAGGGCACCTCGTCAGATCTTACCTCACCCCAAGGAAACCAGTTCAGGGCTTGATTCGACGGGGAAAAATTCCGTAGATACGAAACACCAAGTCGCTTGTCATGTTCCATCATGTCCGCGTTTTGCTGATCCCTCCATGCATGACATATGGGCGTCACACCGATCAGAAGGATTGTCTCGGTTACGGTGAACAGAAACGTGCCCCGGAGGCGAGAGAAGGAGCTAGAAGACTGAGTGAAGACTGCGTTGACCGATGTGAGATACTGTGATGAAGATGATACGTAGAGTCAGGTCTCCATATTCATGTCTTAATGACGGTTAGCCAGGGAAGAGTGATGAACACCGATGATAAGCGGCATCGGTGTGATGAGTTGGTAAAAAGGGAATAACGATAACGGGATTATTGCGATCCGGATATAGTGACAGGCAAGCGTCGAGATGTGTGATGCGTGTTGAATGTTGGAGACTAGTTGGTCTTGGTACCTGTTTCCTCCATCTGTAGTTGCGCTCGATTGTCAGGCGGTCGAGATATGCTGATGAGGGCCTACTTCTTCGTCCGCGTACTCTTGCGGGTACCTTCGACAGGTGGTTTGGCCTCCGACGCTTTACGTTTCGTACCTTTCTTCGCTACGGGCTTTGCAATCGTTGCTTCGTCACCGCTGCTCTCTTTCGTTACTGGTGGGATCTCTTCTTGTTGTGCTTCGTCTTTCTCCTTCTCACCCTCCTCCGCCTTCGTGTCAGCTTGCACATCCGCGTCTTTTCCCTCATCCTCCTCTGTCGCATCTTCTTGCACACTAACATCCACACCCTCTTTTCCAAGTACCCAAGCTACTCTCTCAACGTCAATCGCCATCGCTAAAGAGTCCCTCTGTCCGAATCCTCTTCGCAATCTCTTCCTTAACTCGTGCACGCGATCGAGCATCATCTCATACTCCTTGACGTTATACTTGATCTTCCTCTGCCAGCCCTTTCCATCTTTTCCGCTCCCCGTTTCATCGTCCCAGACGGACCATCTAAACAGTTCATCAGAGAAGAAGGGTATCTCTGCAGGTCGGAGAACAGAAAGAAGCAAGGATGCGGTTGCTGGGCCCACGCCCTTCAGTCCCACAAGAATTTTGAGCGCGGGGATGGCATCAGGATGGGATGATTTGCTCTTCCAGAGCGCAGCGTAGGCCCTTTTGGTTGTTTTCTCGACTGCCTCTGCCGTATTACTTTGGACCAGGCCTAGTAGGGCTGGACGAAACGTGCCGTGCTTCCTGCCTCGCCATTAGTTCAAACCCCCTCATATGTGATCTCAATACAAGGGTACCACATACAGCTTCCATTCCACAAGCGTCACGACTTGCTCTTTCGTCAAGTGTTTCTCGCTTTCGTCTTGTGCAGCTACGGCTTTGCGGATGATGTCATATCGTTGCGCGTCCAGGTCGCGTAGCTTCTCGGGGACCATGGCAGGGTAACGCGACAAGACATCTCTAAACGCGCCCAGAGTTATAGTTTTGATCTGAAGTGGGGGCATTGTGGGTGTTGTTGGTGGGTTTGCGATTGCGAGGCAGGGTGGAACTGGCGTGAGAGTGGGAAGACACGACTATACCTAGGTAAGCCCGACGCCAGATCACGTGCACATAATATTGGCTGAGTCGCCCTCAAACCCTTTCCGCACAAGATGACTCTTTTGTATAACCAGTGTGATTTATGCACTCGCCCTGAAAGATTCTACCGTATCGTATTGTGCATTGCAGCTACTATACATGTTTTAACCTCAAATATCGAATTCGACGCTTCATCTATGACCGTGGACAATAATGCACCAGGACGCCCGCCTCAGAATTTCCGAGGATATGCCACAGGAATATCCACCACGCCTTGCTAAGAAACAATGGTATATGAGCAAACAAACAAACAGCCCTATGTAAATGCAAGCTCCAAACGCCTGGCTAATCGACGTTTCACGTAGTCTTCCTTGGACGTCCACGACCACGCTTCCCAGAACTCGAACCGCGGGTCGGTACCATAGCAGGGCGACCTGGTGGTCTGCCAACAGGTTTCTTCGGAGCTGGTGCGCTCGCAGGAATCTCATCATCACTCTCCGAATCCGACACGTTGATAGCCTGAGGCTTTCTATTGACAGAGGAAAACTTGGACGCTGGTGCAGTAACAGTCGTCGTAGTGGTGACCTTACTTAGTCCATTACCATTCCGCTTGGAAGCCGCAACAATCTTGATCTTCTTCCCGTTCAAACCACTCAAGATGGAGTTTGTAGTTGGCGGTGGCCCTATGCGGACAGGTTCCGGTGTTTTGTCCTCAGATCGTGTGTCATCTTCGAATGGCTCCTCATCAGCGGGTGGCAGGTCACCAAGGAATGTGTCCATGAGCTGGTCATCGTCCGAATCGGGGAATAGCGCCATCTTCGCTCGCAGATTCTCCTCGGCTTCTCTAGCCTCAGCTTCTGCACGAGCTTTTGCCTCCTCCTCCCGACGTTGGGCTTCCAGGGCAGCGGCAGCGGCTTGTTGTGCGAGAATGAAAGCTTCACTAGACTGGTCATCCTCTTCGTGAAGACCATCCTGGTCAGAGGCATGACCGGAGACATCACCAGCGTTGTTGGGTTCCGGATCTTCGGATGGTGGTCCTGTAGGTCTGATTCCAGCTTTTGGTTTTGCTGGCATGGATTTTCGGCGCTCATTATACACGCGGCTTCGCTCTCGGTCTTTCTCCCGGTTGGGCCTTACAGCTCCATCCCTAAAGTCGGACGGCAGCTCGGTGGGTAGGTCTTCTTCACCTTCATTCCTTCGCGCCAACCAGTTCGATGCACGCCCACGCGGGCGACCAGTATATCCGGGCTCGTCTTCTTCGCCACCAAACTCCTCATCGGAATCGAGCGTGATCTCTTCAAATCGTTTGGAGCCACGAGGCCTGCCTGGTTTCGCAGCGCCGCTAATTTCCGGATTGCGCTTGCGCGTTGAGTATGCCTCATCCTCTTCTACTCGGATCCGATATGTCTTCGCGTCCTTCTCTTTCTCAGCCACGCTCTTGAGAGTGTTTGGCTTCGGCACAACATCGGACTGTAGAATGGACCGCATGTCGCCAGACGCTTCGATTTCCTCAGGAGTGCCTTGTCGCAGCACTGGTGCGCGCTCGGGGACGGGTCTTTGTCGGATTCGGTCAAGAAGGCCAGTGGCCAGAGATAACTTTACCACCTTGGATTTACCCTTCATCTTCGCGGCAACCATGATGAACCTGTCCTCGCGTTTGGCATCCTCGAGCAGCTTCCTCTGTACCTCCTTTTGATATTCCTTGCCAGATGCATTCTTCGGTTGCAGGGGTTGTGCTTCGTCGTCCTTCTTCTTCTTCTGTTTCTTTGCCTTGGCCTTCTTCCGCCGGCCGCCCTGTACATCCTCGTCTTCTTCGCGACCACGCTTCTGACCCAGACGCGGAATCTCACCATCCATGCCGGGATCATGGTAGTATGGAGCACCATTTGCCCCTGCGTCACCATTGTCGTGAACGACGCCGTTGGCGTCCTCAACGGGAGAGTAAGTAATACCGTATCGGGTGTAGCCGTGGTTGTCATCTTCAATGAATCGCGCATCAAGGGAAGGATCCGCCATTTTGTCCATCTCCGCTTGCAGCATTCTGCGTTGCATTGCACTCTGGCCCATACCCTCCTCTTCCCGCAACCAGTTCAGATTAGACACACTGAAATCGACGAGACACTCTACTGAGCGTATATCAGCCACTTTCTTGGTGTCGTGGCCGAGTAAGGTTCCTTTGGGCTCGTATGGATGTTGTCGGGGGTCACGTCGACAAGCGCCAGTATTGCAAACTCGTCTGCAGTGTGGACACTTCCAGTTGTAAGCCTCCATGACGTTTACCGGCATCATATCGTGTGCTCGAAACAGGGTACCGTAACAGTAGGATAGGTCACAGCTCGTGCAGAATGCCATCTTCCATTTCGGGTGGCGATGAAGACAGAAATGGCAGGACTTATGCTTTGAAAGGTACTGCTTCGACTTCTTGTTCGCAACCTTCTTGACGTTGCCGTATTCATCGACGACAGGCTCCTCATCGTCGGACACGCTCTCAGGTTGCGGGTTCTTGATATCGACGAAGGGTCGGACTCGAAGTTGCTCTTGACAGACTGTGGCCAGAGTCTTCTTGCCAAGATATCGTCGCTCTTCTTGAAGTGGAAGTGGAGTCTTCTCATGTACGAAGCCATCGATGTCGATAATCTGAGCGCGCCACTCTTCGTACTTGTGAAGGAGGTCCTTCCACTTCCACTGTTCGACCCATGTGTATCCTGATTGACAACCACAGCTTCGTCCCATGCAATAACAGTCCATGCAAACGTCGTATGGTTCTTCGATCTCCGTACTGAACAAATTCTTGCAAGTCTTGCAGCTAAGGAAGCGATTGAAGATGTTGCATCTGCAATAGGCACAAGTTACGTTGCTGTCGTAGGGAAGAAACTCTGGGTGTTCTCGTGAGTCCGGTGCAAACGCCTCTGACAGCAGAATGGCCTTATACAGATCAAAGAGCTTCTTGAAATCTTTCTGGACTTGCTTTATTTTGACCGACGTTTGAATTGCGACGGCCTGTTCGCCACCCGCTTCGACTTGAGCGCGCGCGGACTTGATGAGGCTGGAGTACTTTAGAAGGGTGTAGTAGACGATGGCCTTATTCTTGTACTGCTCGTCTCTGCAGACGACTCGTGAGTTGGGTAATGCCTCGTTCAGCGCAAGTTCCAGTGTTTCGACAGTCGTCCGGTTCCAAGCAATCTTCATGGTTCGCGTGCCACGATTCCAGACTTGGTGAGGAGCCAGCGGTGGGATAAGTATAAAGTCGCCCGCTCGCTGCTCTACGACATAAGTCTGGAATGGGGCCTTTTTCCAAGCGATGAGCTGCGCGAAATGGTTCTCAACTTCTATGTCGTGGCCTAAAACCGAGAGCCAGTATTCCGAGACAACATGACGGTCCTTGCTCTCTGTCATGAACCAGATGGACGAACCAGGACGCTCCTGCTTGCCGTCTTCGCTGATGTTGCCTGATGCGTTGACCATGATGTTCTGACCAAGTGAAGCGCACATCTCTCGATGGGACGGGGTGTAGGTGCCTTCGTGACCAATATAACACATGAGGTTCTCCGCGCGCATCTCAGGTGGCAGGCTGCTCATGAGATCTCCAGCGCGTCCAATACCGCGTCCTTTGCGACCACCGGGCTCGTCCAATGCGCCAGGACCGCCAGGCTCACCAGTGCTCTCGTTGAGGTAGAACAGAACCGAGGGAATGTGCTCCTTTAGTTTATCATGCCACACTTGAGGACAGTCGATATCCTTGAGGTAGATGCGCTGCCTCGCCTTATCGCGGTATGCGTCGTCGGGGCCGTCGAAGAATTGCTCGGTCAGCTTCGTCATATGCTTTAGGTAATGCTTCATAGTAAGAGGGATGTTCTCCTTGGTCGACAGATTGCGCGCATTCTCGACTGTCTCACTGTTAGCAATGCGCGCCGAGTGTTGCCCTAGATTGCGCTCACCTTTATCGCCATGGTTGTCGCGCAGCCACGAGGGTGTAAAGGTCCAGGGATCCAGAACCTCCTCGAAGCCGTCGATTACAAGAGGCTTGCCGCCTATTATGACGTGCAGCATCACCAGCTTCTCAAAGGCTTCGATGCCATTGTTGGCGATCATCTCGTAGGAAATGCGGTCGACATATTGGAAATTGTCCGCGGTCTCCACAAAGGTGCGCACATCGAAATCGGGCGGTATGGGCTCAAATGAGGCCCGCGGGCGCGCGGCCGGCATCGTCGTCACCCACGACTAACATTCAGAAGTCGCGTTCTGGGTGTGGGGTTACAGGAGCGTGAAGCACCTCCGCGGCGTTGTCGCAGTCGCGAATAGACCGGGGCTCAGCGATTAAGTGTGGGCGCGTGGTCGTGGTCGCTGGCGGAGCGAGTGCTGCGATAAATGTGGTTTGTAGTTGATTTGGCGGCAGCGTGGTGAGCTTTCGGGATGTGGACGCGACCGAGGAAACGGCGTTCTGACTCGTCACGTGCCGTCGAGTGCTAGCGCGAACCCATGGTTCAGCTTTCACGTTCCCCACTCACTCACCGTCCCGATTCGGCGCTGGACGGCAGTGATCGAAGTGCCTTCCCCAATTGGTTACTAGCCACTCACGTCGTCTTCGACATGTTCAGCATAGCACGTTGAGATCGAGGCCCTGCGTACCAGCCCAGCAAACAGAAAACGTAGCACGCATGCCTTTACATGTGAAATTGCAAACACTTCTGACCGTCTAAACATCTAAAAGCTGAGGATGGCTCTCTTACGACTTTATGCAGCGCGGGCTGCGCCGGTATGTCGGCAATACACTCGAAATTCCTCCACATTACAATCCGCTTGCAGACGCGGACGACTATCAACACCTCTGTCACTCTCGAGCTATCGTCCGCAAACCACCCAGCTCATCAAGTCGATACGACGAAACTCGACAAACTTGCAGTCAGGAGTAGCGGCAGCGACAACACTACAAGATGGGCCGTCGAAACCACTTCCCGATTACAAGCCACCAACCACCGGCTTCCTGTCATATCTGCCTCAGAAAGCGGTTCCATACGGCGAGCTGATGAGGCTGGACAAACCGGCAGGTACATACTACCTCTTCTTTCCTTGCATGTTCAGCACACTCCTCGCTGCAACCATGGCTACCCCTCTCGCTGCACCTTCCGCAGTCATCGGCACAACAGCCCTCTTCTTCACAGGAGCTCTCGTGATGAGAGGCGCCGGATGCACGATCAACGACCTTTGGGACCGCAACCTCGATCCACACGTCGAACGTACGCGATTGCGTCCCATAGCACGACGAGCAATCACACCTCAGCAGGCTATTGTCTTCCTTGGAGGACAGCTTACGACCGGTTTGGCTGTTCTCCTATCACTCCCATTCGAATGCTTCTGGTACGCGACGCCATCACTTGTTCTCGTTACGCTTTATCCTTTGGCAAAACGGGTAACGTACTATCCTCAATTCGTCCTCGGTCTTACGTTCTCATGGGGTGCGATGATGGGCTTCCCTGCGCTGGGTGTTGACCTGCTGGCGAATCAAGCAGCGCTCACTGCGGCAGCTTGCCTTTACGCTAGTAACGTTGCGTGGACTGTCCTTTACGATATGATCTACGCGCACATGGATATCAAAGATGATGTCAAAGCTGGCATCAAGAGTATTGCACTCAAGCATGAGAAGGAGACCAAGATGGTATTGTCGGGTCTGGCCGTTGTTCAGCTCGGCTTATTATCCGCTACTGGAGTCGCAGCAGGTTTAGGACCGGTCTACTTCGTCGGGTCGGTCGGGGGAGCAGCAGTCACCTTAGGAACGATGATCCGACGAGTGAAGCTGAAGGAAGTCAAGAACTGCTGGTGGTGGTTTGTGAATGGTGCATGGTTCACTGGCGGTGCGATCAGTCTGGGTCTCGCCGGAGAGTATATCACACACCTCTTTGGTTGGTATGGGAATTTTGAAGAGGAGAGGAGGTCTATTGCCATCTGAGACTACATCGTCGATGCTACAATAGGATGATGTCTGTCGTCCAGAGGATCAATTCGGGTGCACCTGGAAATAGCAGTGTATTTTGACGAAGCTGTATAGATTACATGTATTGTTACTACGACACCATGGTATGAGGCTCATGACCTGGAAACATGTGTAGATGCTCTTCTGATCCCTTGCAAACTCCCTGCAAACATTGTCCTTGATCATCCTAGTTTTGCACATGATGCGCAGGACTCTGCCATCGCGTAATGATGCGCAATGACTATGCTGTATTCGTTTCGGTGCTGGTGCTACAAAGGCTAGTGTTGGAAACCGGCTCCGTTGGGACTGTTGAGTCTGAAAGTGAGGGTGTCGCTGAAGGAATGTTTGTCGAAAGAGGGTCTTGTACGGATGGAGTGCGTGTGATGAATCTCCGTCCTGCTGTCGTCTCATCCGAGTATTGGAGTCCGGTTTCGAGCTCGTGTGCTAGTAGTACGATTAGCGCCCAGATACGACAAATGCCAGTCCTAGCAATCTGGTGTACATACACTCAGTAGGAGGGTTTCTGAATTGGCGATATAGGACAAATCCAAGAGAGTCTCGATAATGCAGACCAAACAACGCTACGACGACACTGAAAATGGCGGCAATACCAAACAGTATCTGTAGCGCGACGTTTACTGTACTACCGTTTGGGCTTGCCATCCCTGCGTACCTAAGTACCTAGGTATTCGGACGCGGCTGAGCAAGAACGTGATTGGCTGCCGAGATTGTATGTGTGAAGTGCGAACAGCGATGTGGTGGGCAAGAAAAGGCGGATCGAACAGCAGTAAAAAGGTCTTGACTGGATTGCTGCAAAGACTGCGAACGACATCGTGTTGCTGGGAAGAATGGGGGAGTATTTGAATCATCTCGAGGACTACGGCTCTTGCTGTTCGGCGCGTGGCGCTCTTTTCATAGTTCACTTACCCGCTGCATGAGGAAACCCACGGCATGAGAGAGTCACATGCCTCCCCGGACTGTGAATATTGCAGAACTCGAACAAAGTTCAAGCCGATTCTTTACCAATGGGTTCAAAGGACGGGTACAAGTTTTCTAGGGTCTTGTCAGCCATCTGTAGGTCTTTTTATGCAGTTGCGGAAGTGTTTTCGCGGTCTTGGTGCAAACGCCCTATCAGCCTATCATGCACATGAGAACACACCGGTGACCACAAGGTAGGTAGGCGCAGCCATTCCGTAACTATGATTTGCTCAGGCATTCGTAGTGCAGCGGTGTAGACAGTCCTGTTTGCAAATTGGATGACGATGTCATGGCAGACCATTTCCCTCATATTCGCTCCAGCTGTAAAACTGGTGTGTTCACCGGAAGCTACAAGAGTCAGCCTCGTCCTAGCCTTGTCCACATAAATACCCCATGTCAGCATATCGCGTAGAGAGCATGACCCAGTGTCATATTGACAGACTGATGATCAGATCAAGTTTTGAACTAGAAACCTGCAATCTTTTCGGTATTGATATGTTTACAGATTTTGTTTATGGGATCGGTGTTAGTGATGTGAGATATGAATAACGAAGAAGCGTGATGACTGGTAAGGGACAACAGCAGCCACTTCCTAGTCGCTGCTTCGTCAGCGTCGTACTCCATACTTAAAGTGACAATAGCCACAATCGCGCACGGGTAGATTTGTGGTTAAAAGCGTTGATTGTAATGCTCGGGGGTAACAGTGTCAACCGACAGCCAAGGACTAAAGGAAAATGTGATGACCAGTAACCCTGAGACGTTTTAGCAGTAGAAGTAAAGTATGATCAAGGCGCCTGGTGTTGGTGGAGAAGCGTCGCGATCTCCAGTCCAGGCGTCCCTGCCAAGCTCGAGGTTCTGCCACCGGGGCCCGCCCAGTGACAGCATAGCTCCCCAACGTCCACCTCCAACTGCGCGCAACATCCCCGCAAGCTTCCGTTACATTTCCTTCTTACTCGCGAAGCCACCCGTTTTTGTTCCATATATCTCTGAGCTACACCTCAACGTAGTTTGCGCGCATAACGACACACCTGCGCCGCTACAATGGCTTCGCGACTGGTGCTGGTCCTAGGCGACCTCTTCATACCAGACAGAGCTTCAGTATGTCACCACAACGACTCTTCACGATGCTAGACCTCACAAACTTACAGGCTGCATAGGACATACCGGCCAAGGTACGCTTTACCCCACCTCTACCACGTTCACCATCCGTCACCACCCACTACAACCGCACCGTGTCTCTCATAGACCCACACGCGCATGCGCTTACACGACGATATAGTTCAAGAAACTCCTCGCACCCGGGAAGATCGGCCAGATTCTCTGTCTAGGCAACATAACAGACCGCGAAACGTACGAGTTCCTGCGCGCTATCGCACCCGACCTACAGATTGTAAAAGGCGACTTCGACGTGGAAGCGCCCAATCTCGCCTTGTCGAAAGTCGTCACACACGGAAGTCTGCGCATAGGCTTTACACATGGCCATACAATCATACCACCCGGCGACGGCGACAGTCTGCTGATAGCGGCGCGGCAGATGGACGTCGATGTCTTGCTATGGGGCGGCACACACAAGTTCGAGGCGTATGAGATGGAAGGCAAGTTCTTTGTCAATCCCGGGAGTGCGACAGGTGCCATGAGCACGGGGTGGTGGACAGAGGATGAAGATCCCACGCCGAGTTTTGTGTTGATGGATGTGAGTTTACCCAGGTGTTACACAAGGAACAGCAAGCAGCAGCAGGGTAGTGAGGACACCAGGCTAACACGAACCTAGGTCCAAGGCGACGTCCTCGTACTCTACGTCTACCAACTACGCAAAGACGCCGAAGGCAACGAAAACGTCGCAGTGGAGAAAGTCTCGTTCCGGAAAAACGGCGGCGGCGCATCGTAGACCAAAGGTGTTACAAGCCAGCGGCTGTCGACGGCTCAAGGCCGGATGGGCGCATGAACAGAGCGGTTGTGCAAACACCTAGCATGCTTGTTCATGCGTTCACAACGAGGAATAGAAGCAGTACACAACATATACGCAATGACCATGGACCCCCTCTCTCTAGCAACCAGCGCCGATCCAGTTGGCGTCGGACTTGATTCCGCTGTAGCACCGCCTATATACCAAGGATGTCGTGTAATAAACCCCATCATGTACATGCTATCCATTTCGGCTAGCAGTCACACTCCATACTTGTCCGCGCAGATCCCATAACGAAAAAAGAGACCCGCAATCATGCATGAGGTCTTTCAGGCATGTTCCGTGTTCTCCCTACATATGACCATGCCATGCTGTACAACCCCTGAGAAGCCAGGCAAGCAGATGATGAGCACCCGAACCCCCGATGTCTTGCTCAGCTGAGACTCATGTCATCATGTCGTCGTTACTGCTGCTACTCCGCTTTTTTTTTCCGCTTTCCACGTCGTGGCTTACCCCACATTTTTGTATTCCCGTGGCATGTCACTTACTGTCCGGTGAGGCTGTTTTAGAGGTTTTGTGTAGCGCTACACGGCGCTTTTCAAGCTTTGGAGTCTGACACCCGAGCCCGGACCTGAGTTTTGAGGCTGGACGGTCATGTTCGGGACGAGCGACATGCCGGTTCAATCGGGTAGCCGATGTGATCGTGCCGGTGTGGTGCGGGCATGGCATGATGGTACCGGACACCCCACGCAATCGGTACTGTGGAGCTGGTACATGGAACACTGAGACATAACGTTGTAGCGTGATATATAGTGTCTCTGTTTGACAGCGTGACTTTGCACAGTATATCTTCTGGTTTGACACGCCTACCCTGAATGTACAATAGCTTGTGATCTGATGTATGTCGATTACTAGTCCCATCTATAGCTAGCCTCTGGTATATCATCATGATGCAGTATATCACCGCACCGCAACTGACCTAGAGACATTCGCTCAACACCCAGGGTACATCGAGTTTGGTTCAATCGTAATGTTGTATTGTAGTCTTGCGTACAACTTCCTGAAACCCAGCGTCTCTAGACACGCCACCAGCTCAACCATCCCTCTTCTTCAAGACCTCCATAACAGCCCTACCCACCTCCTCAAACAACCCAGGCATACAAGCAATCATACCCCAGTTCCTCTCTCCGGTGATCTTTCTTCCATTTGCGAAGTCAATCTGTTCACCCTTGAAATCGCTGATAACGCCGCCCGCTTCCTGGAAAAGAAGATGGCCACCAGCGTGATCCCAGATATATGTGAAGCGGTCTTTAGTCTTTGGGATGCGCACCATGACGTCCGCAGCTCCCAGAGTAAGAGCAACGTATTTCATCTGCTGAGACCAGAGAACGGTGCCTGGCCATTCCGCACCGAGAGTTGTAGCAACCGCGTTGTGTTCGGGTTGAGAGAGAGATGTTTTGCCTAGTGTTGCTTCGACAAAGTTTAGTTCTGAGGCTTTCTTTTGGGGAAGCGTGGTTCGGTCTACGTGGCGGGGTTCTCCGAATCCAGCGGAAAGGGAACTGTTCATGGAGCGGATAAAAGTCCCTTGTCCCTTGACAGCGGAGAGTATGACGCCAAAGCCGTCTTTGTCGACTTGGTCCTCGTGGATCGCTGTTTGGCCCAGTTCCCCTTGGATGGGGAAGGCGAGGTTGGGACACGCAATGACACCGACTTGCTGTACGCCATCGACTAGCAAACACAGACAAACTGCGTACTGCTGGCCCTGCATAAACGTTGCTGTGCCATCCACGGGGTCCATGACCCATGTTCGGCCTCTTCTGGTGATTTCCCCTTTACCACCCCTATCAATGAGCTCGAACATCTCTTCTTTATTTTTCGGGAAAGCCAACTCCTCCTTCTGGACAGAGTTTCCGCCTCCCTTCTCGTTCTCGGAGCCACCTGCATGAGTCTCGTCCTTCGCCTGTTGCACGAGCTGCCAGACGCGGTCAGCGAGTGTCTCGTTTTGACGCAATGCATCAGCGCTTTCCTCGCCCAGAAACGCGTCTGTTGTGTACACGGCACGCAGGGCGGATATGAGGAGGGCTTGAGCGGC